GAACCCTAGTACATTTGCTGGATGGTTTGGGCGATCCCTTTTCCATGTGAGTGTTTGTGAACATAGTTTCATTCTTTCTGCAATTATTGTCACTCTCTTGGTTTTAAGTCCAAAGTTTTCCCTTGAAAGTTTTGTAATCGCAACTGAACATAGAGGTTATTCCAGTGACTGTTCGTAATGGATAGATAGATAGATAGTTGAAGCCCACCGTTACTCATAAGAAGCTCATTAAAACTGTTAGAATTTGATGGTTACCTTGGTTAATGTGGAATATATATTTGACTTGTTAAAACTGTTGGATGTAGCAGTCAGATTCCAAAGACAATCTATCTGAGGTCACTGTGGCATGTCAATAAAAGGCTTTGTAACTCATGTCAAATCAGCTCTAGTTCCTATAAATTAGTTGTTCTTCTCTGGTTTAAATTTTTGCCCCTGTTACTTTTCTCCATTGATTCTAATACCAGTTATGGGTTGTCAGGCAATTGTTGTGTTTGTGATCAGCATACATGCCTATGCCTATGAAAAAAGTGAAATGGAGGAGGTTTCAATGGTAGCACTTTCCGGATGTATTTGGTTGCAGGCATTTGTATTGACATTAGAGACAAAGTAAGTTACGTCATGACTGGCACTTGTATGGTGTTAACTTGTTTCCAAGTAATTATCGATCTTTCTCAGTCAAGGTGTGAGTGTCTTGGTAATCGCCAGATAATTGTTCAAGTCATCTCCTGATTAAAAGAATTATAGGAACCTTAAATTAAATGTAAACTCAGTTGCTTTTTCTTGACTAGACGCTTCAAAAGCTTAACTAAAAACTTCTGAGCAAAAATGATTTTGAGTTTGCTCTGACTGCCTGGGTTTGTTTGATTTCTACAGTTCCTTTACAATATTGCAACATCTTGCTGTATGGGGAAACTTAGCTGCCTTCTATATCATCAACTGGATCTTCAGCGCCATTCCATCATCAGGGATGTATACAATTATGTTTCGCTTGTGTAGACAGCCATCTTATTGGATGACAATGTTGGTAAGTTTGCCTTTGCCATTTTTGCAGTTATTTGTTCAGTGTGGCTTCTTTCTAAATATCATCATCATTAGTTTCTCAGTTATGTATTTGCATCATTCAGAGTCATGTTATGTTGGGGTGTGTCTAGTCTCATAACTATTTTGTTTTTGTGGGCAATATTTTGTATTAGTTTAGTGGCTTCTTTTGGTTAAATTGGCGGGTGATGGAACCACCAAACTGGTCTACTGAGAGATGAACCATTCTTCACTCAGTTATCCTTAACTATCCAACGGATGATTTGATTTCTACTTACAATTTCATGTTCTCATCTGAGTTTTGAGGTACCACAACAGTACTGAATCAAGGAACGGACCAACTGTACGTCCCCCTTGATGCAACCTGTGGTTGGTAACCTGGAAAGCCAGAATATGGTGCATATAGTTCCTAGGAGCTGACGGAAACTTTACGTGCATTGCAGCTCATAGTTGCAGCAGGGATGGGTCCGATTCTAGCTCTGAAGTACTTCCGGTATACTTACAGACCAAGCAAAATCAATACACTTCAGCAGGCTGAACGGTTGGGAGGGCCTATCCTGTCAATTGGGAGCATTGAACCACAACCAAGAACCATAGAAAATGATGTTTCTCCGTTATCAATAACTCAACCCAAGAACAGAAATCCAATTTTTGAACCTCTACTATCAGATTCACCAAATTCTACTAGAAGGTCTTTTGGTTCAGGAGCACCTTTCGATTTCTTTCAATCCCAGTCCAGATTGTCTACTTCCAACTACTCAAGAAATTGTAAGGACAACTGAATTGTATAATTCTTTTAGCGGCATTAAATCAAACACAACTCATTATACGTGCGGAAAGTTGAACTGTAGTATCAATTTTTTTTGTAAATCAAGCATTGTATGTAGCAGGTATAGATGTGAATACACCTCAATTAAATGAAAGAGAGTAACCTCTTCATTTTTCAGGGTAGAATAAAAGATAATTCGATCACTGGAAATCCTGTGTCTGCTTCTCTTGTAGAAATTATTGTATGGTGTTGGAATACGTCTACGTGGTATAATCCATTTACACTTTATAACATGCATGGACAACGTGGTTTACATTTCCCATTTTTAAGGATACATAATAAATATTGACTTATATCATAACACATGGACTAGTTAAACTACATGGTCATATTCTAATACCTTCATATTTTGTATTCTTGCATTTAAGAGCAAAATGGAATTGGGCACATTATTGTTTGCTTAATATTCGCTCAAAACCTTACCAGTGTGATTAAAAAAAACAAAAAATCTTACCAGTTTGACTGCCAAGAAAACAAAAAAGTTACCAATTTTGAAAGGAAAATGCCGTACTTAATGTTCTATTTTTTCGGTTGCTAAATTCAATAAAGTGGATGGGGAAACTCACACATACGGATATCCATGGGAGCTTGAACTTAGGATCAATCCAACTAAAACCCGTCATATTTAGAATATTGAAAACTAAAACCCCTTCATATTTAGAATATTGAAAGCTAACGTTGTGAGGTGGCAATAATGAAACACAATTTATCTTGTAACAAAATACTTGAACAAAAATACCATTTACAGTTGCAAATGCACTGATTGGTCTGGACCAGAGGTATGCACTTCATCTTTTGGAACAAAATTTATCTTTTGACACAAGTTTGGATCCCAAAACATAATAAAATTAAACACCCTCATATATTATGTTACTTGCAATTCAATTCATGTCATGAGCTCACAGTTTGATCTGTCCATCTTTATTTGCATAAATGTCAGAAAGATTCATCATAAAAGTTCCTCTGTCATCTGTCCATGCAGAAATAGATGGACCATAAATGGCTGGGTCCACCCTCTTCACACAAAAATATACCCATTCACAAGTGTCAACCATACCTTAGCCATAAGCATTACTTATCAGCAGCATGGGCCTTTTGTCCCCAAGCAAGCACAGCTTTTAATTTGAACAAAAATAAATAAATAAAAAATGCCAAGAAAAATAAATTAAATAAAAATTGAAAGTTGTGACCCTTGGGGGTGGTCATTTTATCATGGGTTGCTCCCCCACACCCACACCATTTATTTGTGAGGGTGTTCCAAATCATCACCTAACTCAGCACCAGCATTGCACCTAGCCAACAACAACAATAAACAAACAGGCCCTACTAGAATTTAAAGTTGTGTATATTTTCTTTTTTTTTCTTTTTCTTTTCCTTTTCTTTTTCTTTTTCTTTTTCTTTTTGGGTACAGATGAGAGAAAAGTTGTATATTCCAAACACAAGGTCATGGGGCATTTCCCTACCATCCTAGCTGTGTTTCAGATAAGTAGCCCTCCTAGGAAACAAATAGTATGCCATAATAGTGTGGTATATAATTCCCAGTACTTGTAATCTAGTAGTACTGTCATGTATCTTAAGATTCTCATGCTCTATGTGAGATTTCAGTACTGGACTTTCATGCTCATATCATAGCCGTTGATGATCTCCGGGTTGTCGGAAAGAACAACCATGTTCGCGGACGAAAGGTAATAATGATAACAATACTCTTCGATCACTTTGTTTTGCCTCGACTTCAATTTGATCATATTGTGTTTGATTTTGAGAAAAATAAACTGCCGTAACCAAAATTGAAATCGAGGCAAAACAGGGATGACTAAAGTTGACTTTTACCCTAAATTGGATTTTGATTTGAGAATGATAATTCCTTATTAATTTGATTTGGAACATTACAAGATCAGAAACTTTAGACTACATGAAATTTGAAAAAGTTGTAAAATTTTAGATATGCTAATTACTTTTAGTCCTTTTTTCGATTTTAGAAAGTCAAAATAATTGACGTGAACATTTTAATATATCAAATGACAATATGAACTTAAAATATCTATACCTCATCCCTCCGATGTCATGAATTAGGACATGCCAATTGAGTGATAGGACTCATGGTGACAAATCGTTCATGTGAATGGGCTGCCGACACTTTCTCATTGTGCCGTGTTTGGAGAACACAGGCGAATTCTTGTGTTCGATCGCCTGTGTTGCCAGAATATCGCTTATGTAAGAAAAAACTAAAAAGTCAAAACAGAAGAAAATAAATGAATAAAGCCCAGCTCCTCTCTTTCTGTCTTCCTCATCCTACCCTCGAGCAAAGCCTTCGGATTGTCGTGAACTTGAGAGAAAAAGAGGCGGTGGTCCGGCAATGATGCCGATGCCATTGACGGCGGCTGGCTGTGTGTGTGTTTGTGATGGGGGGGAGGGGGGGGAGGAGATATATATTTTCTTTATAATTAAGCCATTTTTAGGCAAAAAAATAAAGTGCATCTTCAGGTACCAATAAAATTCCCCATACACAGCACTTGAAACACAAAACGCCGAAAGATATGAAAACTTCAAATCAGGCCAGACCAAAAACGAACAAGTACTGCATGCTTGCCACGTTGCTAATGATGAATCGCCATGCCACCTATTCACACAAAATCTCTCACAAAAAAAAAAAAAAAAAAAAAACAAAAAAAAAAAAAAAAAAAAAAAAAATCTTAAGCATGATTTTCGAACCCATATATCACAAGGCTAATTAGGTTGGACACGCAATATATATGCAGAAAATTAAATTAACTCACTGAAAAACAAAAAATAAAGAAAGAAACGAAATAAAATCTCTTCAAGAATCCCAAATACATACATCACATTCCTGTTCTCTAACTTCCTCTCCAACTTACAAAACAAACATCACAAAACAAAACATAGTAATCAACAACAATGCTTAAAATTTTCACACAATAACATCAAAAGCAATAATAATTTACACCCAATCCCGTACATATATGTACGTATATATATATATATATACGGCTGGTGCAATATATACACTTGCAGATAGATGGATGGATTGATCGATCACCATCTTTTTATTCTGTGGCAGTGGCACATAATATAAATCATCAGAGCGCCATGGCAGTCAGATCCGAGTCTTCCTTTACATCAAGAGCTCATTGACCCATCCAAGATCAGGGTCTGAGGAGCCAGATCCAGACCCTCCTCCTCCATTGATGATCTCATCATTAATATTGTTGGGCTTGTAATAATTGTCATCAAAACCCAACAAGCTGCTTTTTCTCGATGAGCCATTTTCATCCCCATCCGAAAAATTAATCCCACGTCCTCCAAACGGCCTGCTTGGACTCGGAGTAGACGGCGAAAGAATAAACTGTTGTTGCTGATCAAGATCATCAGTAGAATTGAATGAAACATCAACCCACCGAGGCGGATTTGGGTTAATAGGTGAAGCAGCAGCAGCTTCACTGAATTTCACGGCTTCCAAAGAGCTCATCAGCTCAGCTAGCACATCCTTGTAGCTCATCATTCCGCCCGGGCTTGCATGCATCTGATCCAACCCCAACCCGCTACAGCGAGACATAACCGGTGAATTATGAAACCCGTTCACCGACGAGCAGTGGTTACCTGCTGGCGACAGAGGCGGCGACAAATTGGACATACCCAACAGAGTGGAAGTTGGAGACGACGTCGTCACGGCAGAGTGACAGAAGAGACAGCAGTACTTGTTCGAGCCCGGCGAGCCCACGGAGTTGCTCAGGTGGCCGTACTTCTTCTTGGGAGTGGGAGAGAGCCCGGCCGCCGTATGATCTGCCGAAGATTGAACTGGCAAAACCCGGAGCTGACGTGGCGTGTGTGCGAAGAAGCACACCTTCCTCTTGCACTGCTTCCCGTCTTTGCAAGCCTCGGTTCTGTACCTGGCCGGGTGGAGCCAACACTCGAACACTCCGTGAGCAAACTCGCAGCTGTCGCCGCGGCTGCAAGACCCACGGCGGTAGTCCGCGCACACGGTGCCCGAATAGTGGTAGCGGCGAGGATCTCTGCGGCGGGCCTTCTCCCCTGGGTGGGCGAAGGGGCAGTCGGTCCAGTCGTGGCTGCGGCTGCGGGTGCAGTGGCGGACCTTGAACTCGAACATGCGGAAGTGGTCGGAGGAGTAGGGATCGGAAGAGTTAGCGTCGTCTTCATCGGAGTCGTCAGCTGCGGCGTTGTAGGGGAGGAACTTGCTGAGGAGGGCCTCGTCGGCGGTGGAGAAGCAGGAGGAGTACATCTCAGGAGAGGAGGGGAAGTCTTGGGTTTGGGTGCGGCGGGTGAGGAGCTTTCTGGGTGGGATGTCAATGGTAGTGTTGTGGAGAGACTTCTTGAATGAGAGGAGCTGGTGGGAAGGGTGGAACTTGTGCTGCTGCTCAGCGCACACACTAGTCATATTACGTTGGGTGTGCAAATCAAATTCCAGGAAATAGCAGATCAGAAAGAGAGAGATATTTGGGTGTGCAGAGTGATAATGAAGGTGGTGGTGGTGGTGGTGTTGATGAAGAGGGGAACAAGGTGGGTGGGTTATATAGGTGTTTTGAGTTTGAGGGAGAGAATTTTAGCGAGAGAGAGAGAGATGATGATGACAAGGATGGAGAAAGGAGGGGCATGGGATGGGCAGAGAGATACGTGGCTGCATAGCATTTGGGATCAGCATGCAAAATGGGGTATGTGGCAGCTTCACAGTTCACTCGGCACGCAATACTTTGGCTATGTGTTTCCTCAATGGGACATCCTCCATCTTTTTTCTTCTTCTTTTTCTTTTTTATTTTGTTTTGTTTTGTTTTGGTTTTTTTCAAAAGGACGTCATCATTTAATTTATATCTCAGAAGAAAAAAAGAAAAGAAAAAGAAAGGGTTTTTGGATTTTATTTGGGTAATGTTGGGATTGGAGGGCTACACCTTACGCGTACTAATAAAATACATGGTCATATATATCACCAATCTCAGTGTTGGGATTTTTCACTCTAACCTTTTCTTAAATTTGTCATTTCCGTTTTGGGTTACCGACTATCATGATCGACATAAAAAGATTCTAAATTCCTTCTATAGGGTCGGACGTCCAATTGGGTAATTTCTAAAATACGTTCTTAGTTTGGGTCAACTAAGTTGTTTACACTAACACTCCATCAAACTTCTTTCACAAAACTCCTTATGGTTTCACAAATTACACGAACACCCTTTGAGGATTCAAATTATTTTTAAAAAAACTACTTTTCATTGATTGTTCGTCCAAAACTTGATGTCATTTTTTAAAAAAGGTTAATTATATTTTTTGTCACTGAGGTTTGGCGCGAATTCAAATTTGATCATCGTATTTGCAGTAGTTAACAAATTCATTCCAATGCCTCAATTTCGTCAATTTGTTTAATTAAAAAATATTTAACATTTAGTTAAAAAAACAAAAAACTTAAATATAATATTTAATATTTTAAAAAAACAACATCAGTCACAACCGCCTGTCCACCGCGGACGAGGCCCGACCCCATCCCCAACCAATCGCAACTACATACCAAACATATATTGTTTGAGTAAATTTCTACACGGGGAATATTCGTGGATTGATTTTTCACCCTTCCAGCTCCTTTATCTCTCCCCTTCCACCATTCATGCGAAAAAGATCAGAGTAAATAGGCCACACTCAGGGAGTGTTGGCCAAAGGTCATCCGATGCATAAGTCAGTTAGATGATCTTGAGAAAGATACAAAAATAACAGAGAATGTCAGAGTTTCTTTACAATATGAGAGAATCGAGTGGCTGGAGCCATGTGTGAGGGTGACCAGAGCCGTGAGGGAGAGAGGAGAGAGTGGCAAGAGAGAGAGGAGTTTCCAAGGCCAAAATTGGATTTCCTCGTATGTGTGATGTAGCTGTGTATTTATAATGTTCTTGTCTTCTAAGGTTTGAAGAATAATCCTACTAAATTTAAATTGAAACAAGTACAAACATCTCTTATAAATCAAAACAATTGGACAATCAATTCAAAGTAATCAAACCAATAGAGAATCATATTTATGGAATACACTAAAACTAAAAATCAAACAATGTGCCTCCACCCTAATTGGGTGCAAAGATAAATATCCTGGATGATTTAAGCTACAAACTCTTGCACAACACATTTTGTATAAGATAATGGTATACCAATGTTACGAAGGGTGAGTCAAAAATGCACATTTTGTTTATTAGCTTTTGTCCACGTGGTGCAAGTCATGGTACGAAATGGGTCCCATCCTTACTAATCATTAATTTAACTGATGGATGAAACAGTTGAATAATTTATGTCGCAATGTATTTCATTAATAAGTAAATCTATTTATTTAATGCAAAGTACTAATATTTGTTTTCGGATAAACCGCAGAGCACTCAACTTCAAGAAGAAAAAATAGTGATAGTAGCCCAACCTAGACCATCTCCATCTTCTTCAAATTTCCCAAAACAGAGCAACCACCATTGCTTCATCAGTTGATCAACACACCAAAAGAGAGAGGATGTACAAGTCGAAGCTGCAGGAGCTGTCCCAGCAGAGGAAATGGCGCTTGCCAGAGTACAAAGCCAAAAAGCTTGGCCTCGACCACAACCCTCGCTTCTCAGCCTCCGTCACCATAAACGGCGTCGCCTTCGATACGGTGCAATTCTTCAGATCCTCCAAGGAAGCCCAAAACGACGCCGCTAGAATTGCCTTCGTTCACTTCTCTGATCCGCAACCCAGACATACCAATCGCAGTCCCAGCCCTTCATCATTCCCTCAACCTTCTCTTCCCGCTGCCTCAGGTAAAAGGGTTTTAACTTTAATCTTTATGCTCTGTTTGGTTGCTTTAAGTTGTTATTTCTTATTTTTCTTGATGTTTTTCTATCTAATCCTCTGTTTGGTAGCTGATTGGAAATAAATTTCTTCTGTTTTTTTCTTTTCTATTTTACTTTAATTTATAACGGATCATTTTCTCGTTTCTTTTTCTCCTGAGCATTGGATATTTGGGCTCTCTATTTGGTTTCAATAATTTTGTCTTGATGTAATCTTAAAAGAATCAGTTCATGTATCTTATGGGTTGTATTATTCCAGCACTTCCTTCAACAACGGGCACCAATTTGACTGATACGCATGACACAAAACAGACATTGCAACCAGAGATTCAAGAAACACATGAAAATTCTTACGTGCCAGTTCAGTTCAGTGGTATAGCATCAGGTGGCAATTCTCAGGTGAATGGCAGCACATTGGGTATTGAAGATGGTAATCGATTGAGAGGTTAAAAATTTTCTCTGGACACACTCTCTTTACTATTAATGATTGTAGGAACTGAACCCCCAAATAAATTTTTTAATCTTAATATTAGAGCTAGCTTTTTTAGAAACTGTTGAAATTATACTCAGAGTTTGAAGGATATGTGAAAAAGAAATGGCACATAAAGTATATAATGCCTTAAACTCTCTGTCTTGATGTGATCTTATAAGAATCAGTTCATGTATCTTATGGGTTGTATTATTCCAGCACTTCCTTCAACAACGGGCACCAATTTGACTGGTACACATGACATGAAACAGACATTGCAACCAAAGATTCAAGAAACACATGAAACTTTTTACGTGCCAGTTCAGTTCAGTGATATAGCATCAGGTGGCAATTCTCAAGCGAATGGCAGCATGTTGGGTATTAAAGATGGTAATCGATTGAGAGGTTAGAAAATTTTCTCTGGACATATTCTCTTTACTATTAATGATTGGAGGAACTGAGCCCCCAAATAAAAATTTTCATCTAATAGTAGAGGTAGCTTTTTGAGAAACTGTTGAAATTATACTCGGAGTTTGAAGGATATGTGAAAAAGAAATGGCACATAAAGTATATAATGCCTTGAACTCTCTGTCTTGATGAGATCTTATAAGAATCAGTTCATGTATCTTATGGGTTGCATTATTCCAGCACTTCCTTCAATAGCGGGCACCAATTTGACTGGTACACATGACACAAAACAGACATTGCAACCAAAGATTCAAGAAACACATGAAACTTCTTACGTGCCAGTTCAGTTCAGTGGTTTAGCATTAGGTGGCAATTCTCAGGCGAATGGCAGCACATTGGGTATTGAAGATGGTAATCAATTGAGGGGTTAGAAAATTTTCTCTGGACACATTCTCTTTACTATTAATGATTGGAGGAACTGAGCCCCCAAATAAAAATTTTCATCTTAATAGTAGAGCTAGTTTTTGAGAAACTGTTGAAATTATACTCGGAGTTTGAAGGATATGTGAAAAAGAAATGGGACATAAAGTATATAATGTCTTAAAATCTCTGTCCTGATGTGATCTTATAAGAATCAGTTCATGTATCTTATGGGTTGTATTATTCCAGCACTTCCTTCAACAACGGGCACCAATTTGACTGGTACACATGACACAAAACAGACATTGCAACCAAAGATTCAAGAAACACATGAAACTTTTTACGTGCCGGTTGAGTTCAGTGATATAGCATCAGGTGGCAATTCTCAGGCGAATGGCAGCACATTGGGTATTGAAGATGGTAATCGATTGAGAGGTTAGAAAATTTTCTCTGGACACATTCTCTTTACTATTAATGATTGGAGGAACTGAGCCCCCAAATAAAAATTTTCATCTTAATAGTAGAGCTAGCTTTTTGAGAAACTGTTGAAATTATACTTGGAGTATGAAGGATATGTGAAAAAGAAATGGCACATAAAGTATATAATGTCTTAAAATCTGTGTCTTGATGTGATCTTATAAGAATCAGTTCATGTATGTTATGGGTTGTATTATTCCAGCACTTCCTTCAACAGCGGGCACCAATTTGACTGGTACACATGACACAAAACAGACATTGCAACCAAAGATTCAAGAAACACATGAAACTTCTTACGTGCCAGTTCAGTTCAGTGGTATAGCATCGGGTGGCAATTCTCAGGCGAATGGCAGCACATTGGGTATTGAAGATGGTAATCGATTGAGGGGTTAGAAAATTTTCTCTGGACACATTCTCTTTACTATTAATGATTGGAGGAACTGAGCCCCCAAATAAAAATTTTCATCTTAATAGTAGAGCTAGCTTTTTGATAAACTGTTGAAATTATACTCGGAGTTTGAAGGATATGTGAAAAAGAAATGGGACATAAAGTATGTAATGTCTTAAAATCTCTGTCTTGATGAGATCTTATACGAATCAGTTCATGTATCTTATGAGTTGTATTATTCCAGCACTTCCTTCAACAACGGGCACCAATTTGACTGGTACACATGACACGAAACAGACATTGCAACCAAAGATTCAAGAAACACATGAAACTTCTTACGTGCCAGTTCAGTTCAGTGGTATAGCATCAGGTGGCAATTCTCAGGCAAATGGCAGCCCATTGGGTATTGAAGATGGTAATCGATTGAGAGGTTAGAAAATTTTCTCTGGACGCATTCTCTTTACTATGAATGATTGGAGGAACTGAGCCCCGAAATAAAAATTTTCATCTTAATAGTAGAGCTAGCTTTTTGAGAAACTGTTGAAATTATACTCGGGGTTTGAAGGATATATGAAAAAGAAATGGCACTTAAATTATATAATGCCTTAAACTCTCTATCATCTGCACATGGTTTTAACTTTGTCTTGATTATCAAAAAGTTATTGAATGATAGACAACTTATAATCTTTCATCAATATGGGGTGTAGATATACAGCATTTGTACAAGAATCAACTGCAGACTTTTGCACAAAAGAGAAATCTTCTTCTACCTGTGTACAGTTGTGAGCAGGAAGGTCCACCTCATGCCAATCGTTTCAAGTGTAGGGTAACAGTTGATGAACATACCTACGAGGGTCAAGAGTTTCTTCCTACAATGAAGGAAGCTGAACATGCAGTTGCAAAAATTGCTTTGATGTCCCTGTTGCCAAATGGAATACAAGAGGTGGCCAATTTTATTTATATTCTCTGCATAATTTTCCCATATTCTGATAGTATAGAGCATCTCTAAATATATCTCGTGTCTTTGTGGTTCTCTTTTTCCTACCCTAGGATTATATCGGTTTATACAAAAACATTTTACAAGAATTAATCCAGAAAGAAGGTTTTTCTATGCCAGTCTATAGCACAAAGAATTCTGGCGAAGTTCATGCGCCAATTTTTGTTTCAACTGTGGAGATAGAAGGAGAAACTTTTACAGGTTCAGAAGCAAGAAGCAAGAAGCAGGCAGAGATGAGTGCGGCAAAGGTTGCTTACCATACCTTGAGAGAACGTAAGAGTATTTTTCTTCAACTTACTAGCTCCAAATTTGTGTTAACCCTAGGGTATTTATACTCTTTATAATTTATTAGGATGTTGTCTCTTTGGAAGTGTAAGTGCTTAAAAGAGGTTAAGTTTCTTCTATTCTTTTCTCATAAAGTTGTATTTCTTATAAAATGAAATAAAACTTAATATCATCATTTATGTAAATTTGTTTCCTCAATTCATTTGTTAGTCAAAGTACATGCGATATATTTCCTATAGGTTTATGGAGTTCTTTCAGTTTCATGTTTATTTTCAGTAATTATTTTATGAAATAATGCCATCACATGATGTTTATAGTAAGACCTTTTTAATTCAAAAATAATATCTGATGATCTAGGGAAATAAAAACTTACACATCCTCACACTCATTTAGGTAAGTCAAGTAAGATCCCTTTGGTCCGGTCCCCTGCTCAGAAGGGGCTAGAAACGCCAGAGGTCTTATCTTCAAGCTTTCAGTCAAACCTAGCTACTGATTTACAAGGAGGCAGGCCTAACGCCCCCATGATCGTAAGTCCGAGTGCGATTACTGGGGAACAGACGATGGAGACTAGTGGTATTGTTTTTCCCCCATAAGCTCTTTTGTTTTCCTAAAGCCTATTTCTATACTATCGTTGCCATAATGTCTCGTAATGTCTTTGATGGGATCACGTCTTAGATATTAGAGGATGTCTTAAACAGATAGCTAGAGATGACATATTTTTAAACCAAGCTTTCCAATGTCTAAAGGAGCTTTGGTTATAAGGAGAATAGCAACTACTCTTTTTATCCCACAACTTGAATTTGTGTTGTGAAAATATTAATATTTACCTTTTGCTTAATTGATATATTTTTTTGACATTCTCTATCTGATATATTTGTTCCATATAACTTCACTCACAAAGAATGTTCCAGTCTGTCTCTCATTCGTTCAAACTATTGTGTTAAGGAAAGATTCAAATTATATTCAGTTTTTTCAACAACATGTGGTATGCATCACTGTGAAGTATAGATGCTGAAAATATAATTCCAGAAAACTGAGTTATTGAGTGTAGACTCAAGATTTTGGGATACGTATGTATAATTTGAAACTGCTATGGCATGAAGTGCTCAGATGCAAACAAGCATCAATTGGTGAAAGCTAATAAAAGTAAAAGCCAACAGAAAAACAAACTCCCTATGGAGTTCCATAAAATGTGTTAAAATGTGTAAATTCCTTTAAAAAGAACATGATGTACCTGGAAATTAGAATATGAAAGAAAGAACTAAAGTAGAACCTTCCTCACTGCATCAGAAGTGGTATCTCAATCTCTCATTTCGATCTCTGGTGATAGTATCGCATTTACGAAGTCTATCTCTCTTTAAATCAGTGCTGTAAGAGGTACTATTACTTAGCTACAAAGTGAAGTGCCCTCTGTTGACTTTGTAGTTCAGTACTTCTCACTAAAAATTCAATTTCTTAATATAAAGAATCATCCTTATTGTCTCCTGTTGACACAAAGATGTATATATATATAGAAAGAGCCCACACCCGTCACAGAAAATCATGGCATCATTTCTGCACAGGTTTAACTCAGAATTGAAATACGGTATGAAGATTGATAAAAGTAGATGTTGATATTCGGACATCCTCCCCCTTCTTTTTTTATACTCCATAAAAATAATACTGTATTACATAGAGCTTAATGTTTAAATCATTGGCCTTATCTTCTTTGATGGCAGTAACTGCAGAAGGGAACAGTCATCATCCTACCACAGTATCTTCACGACCTGATGCTCTTACGACAAGCTATGGATTCTCGTCTTCTGACATTCTGTATGGCCTTGCGCAGGAGTCAAACAGTTCTAGCCTCTCTGTGTCCCGAAATGGCTCTTCTTCAACTTTGCCTTCTGATGCCTCCACTAACTTAGCTATGGACTCTACTCTTGAGCCACCAGCTAAAAGGAGCATGTATAACAAGGTTTCTGTTTATCCATACAAGTCAGATATGAAATTTCCTGCGGGAAGCACTGTGCTGCCCACGAGTGATGAAAAGTGGGTTGCTTTGTCGCACAGCTGAAGGAACGGATATATAGGCTTTCTCAGTTCCTAGCTTAACGGGCGATGCCCATAGTTTTACTAAGTAAATTGCTTATAATGTTGTTGCTTCACTCACATTCATGAACTCTGCTGCAAATGGTTTGTTAATATACTATAGCCGTTGCCTTTCCGAGTTCTATATTGATGGTGGTGCTTTGCTTGAAATTCTTCTGAGTGGAGATTTTTCATTCATTATACAGTGCTGAAGAAACCATTAAAATTTTGTTTCGTTTTATACCCAGAACTGGAACTGAGGCATGTTCCTGGTTAGTCAAGTAGAATGGGTCTCCAGGACGTCGTGCCTTTATTTTGCAATGGTTGAATGTGCTTAAGAAAAATTTGCTGAAGACTTGTTTTTATGTCCTAAAAATTTTGCTGAGGCTCAACGAAGTGGATTATAATTTCTTTCGTTCTACAGAGTTGCTAGCAAGGACGGTTAAAAATAAATAGAGTTTAAAAAAAGCATACTTGCCTCCAACTCTCACTTAAAAGAAAATTGTCATAATGAGAAAAATTCACTCTTGTAATTTGCATATGGATATGAAATCAACATTAATTTTGGTGATTAATTTCCTCCAACTCTCACATACAGCTTCTCCTCTAACGTAATTCCTTCACTGCAACCGCCCAATCCTCGTTTTGATGGAAGAACTAAACAGAGACCTCCAAGGGATTTATAGCAACAAGCAATCTCATATAAAGCTTCCTGAAGATGCATTAGTGTGATAGGCAAAAGGAGCTTGAAACTTGTACTAGTTTGACTACGTAAAACTCAAAGTTCAATTATGTTTTTTTTCGTTTTTTTGTTTTTGTTTCTTTTCACATTTGAGTTGGACAAGGTGGGCTCAGTTTTCAGGTTGTGTCTAATTGCCTTCATAAATAAGAATTTTTGTTTTTCCTTTTTACCCCTCTACTAATTATTCTACCTAGGCTTTGGCACGAGTCAGAACGGTAGATGGCTCAATCCATTAACCGCCATCTAAGCTTAGGCACATTCATGAATTCTGTTGTGAACGGTCAGGTACCAGATAGTTCACATAACATTTATAACCATTTAAAATAAAAAAATACATCCTAGTTAGGTAATAAAAAATACAATTTATAACCATTTCACATAACATAAATTCCTGAACAAGTACTCAAAATTATCTTTTTTGAAATATATAGAAGACACATATGACACCATCTTTCTTGAGTACACAACCTCTGAACTCATTCAACGTAGCAACAACACGAGCAAAAAGGCATGAACGGCTTAAGGATTCTGCTCTCTCTCAGAAATTGTTTCAAACATCTTTTTTATGAGATTAGGGGTTAGAGAACGTGTCTAATGAGAGTAGGTCTTACGGTTATATAAGGATAGGTCAAGTCATCTCTAATCATCACCAAGAGCTGACTTGACTAACACTCTAAGCCCATCAAGCAACGGTTCACGCAAAAGGAAATAAATAGGACCCCTTTAATTGGCTTCAAAACTTTCTTTATTTCGCAAAGTTTTGGGCCTTAAGATATAACTTAATTTAAACTCTTATCAAACTTGATATAACTTAGTATCTAGTGCATTGATCTATATAGTAATATAACATTCTCCCACTAGATCAAGCACTAGAGCAGAGCACTAAGCTTTTGTATTGCAAAGTTTGATAATCTTTATTGGTCATGAGTTTAAAACAGTTAAGTCATTCCCTTCAAGTTATGGTGAAAAACGGTTAGATAAAACGAACTATAGACAAGCACTACTCTCATTTATCAAAAACATACCATGTATAATCACATAATGCTATCTCAAAACACATGTAGCACCTACAAACGCAAACCTTAACATGTATTGATCCGTAATGTGAATATTTATGCTTTTCAATACACATACACCTTTACGACTTAGCAAGAGTGAATTCGCAATATTATTATAGTATCTCGAAAGAGACCATAAACTCACATACATAAAAAAAATATGCATAATAAGTTTTAAAAAGCTAAATAGTCAAAATGGTAGAAATTATTTAATAATAAAAAACTGTCAACCAAATTAACATTCTTATATGCAAATCCCTCAATCCAGAAAACAGAAAAATAAGCATACTAGAAAACTATCAGAACAATACTCCCACTAGATTGCAACATCAAAGTTAGGAAATAATCTCATGCTCTCAACATGTCTCAGAAACGTTTCTGAAGGCAGAAACTTTGTAAACGGATTTGCAATCATATCTTGAATTCTTATATGATCAAACCTGACTAGTTTGTTTGCTACATTCTCCCGCACTATTAAATACTTTATGTCAATGTGCTGAAGTCCAGATGACTTCTTGTTGTTCATGCATTGAAAGACAGCCCATGTGTTGCCATTGTATATCTGCACTAGTCTTGAAATCGAGTCCACCACTTTAATGTCTTTGATAAAATTCCTTAGCCATATTGCATGAGAAGTGGCTTCATAGCAAGCTATGTATTCTGAAAACATAGTTGAACTTGAAAAATCATATTGTTTAGCACTCTTCCAAGCAACAGTTGCACCTGCTATCTTGAAAAGAAAACCTGAAGTAGAGATGTAATCATCCTCTGCTTTTCTAAGATTCACATCAGCATAACCAACAAACTCTGAATTCTATATGTGTCTATAAATCAACATGTAAGCCTTTCTTCTATGTAGGCACCTTAAAATCTTCTTTCCAGCTATCCAATGTTGCATTTCCAGATTTGACTGAAATCTCCCCATCTTGGTAATGCACAAGGCTAGGTCTGGCTTGGTACATACTTGTGCTTGCATAATGCTTCCAACTAGAGAAGCATACGGCTTGTTCCTCATCTCAGCTTCTTCTTCTTTATTCTTGGGGCAATGCTCCTTCTTCAAATATCCTTTAACTGACGGAACCTTCTGTTCACAACACATACTTATGTCAAAACATTTCAGTACCCTTTCAATTTATGTTTCCTGTGACAAGCCTAGTAGACCTCGAGCTCTATCTCTCTAAATTTCAATGCCTGACACAAAGGCAGCTTCTCCCAAATCCTTCATCTCAAAATTTTTTGAAAGTAGCTCCTTAGTGTCCTTCAATAAATTGTGATCATTTGTAGCCAAAAGCATATCATCGACGTACAACACTAGAAAAATAAATCGGCTCCCACACTTCTTCAGATAAATGCATTGATCAACTACGTTCTCTTCAAAACCATACGATGAGACAGTTTGATGAAATTTTAAATACCACCTCCTGCTTGCTTGCTTCAAACCAAAAATTGCCTTGTCAAGTTTGCAAACCATATTCTCTTTTCCCTCCTTTGCAAACCCTTCAAGTTACCTCATAAAATTTGCTTCTTCAAGTTCACCATTCAAGAAGGCTGTCACATCCCTGGATCGGCTTCGCCGTAGCACGATATTGTCTTTTTTGGGCCTTCCTCTCTTCAAAACCATACGATGAGACAATTTGATGGAATTTTAAATACCACCTCCTGCTTGCTTGCTTCAGACAATAAATTGCCTTGTCAAGTTTGCAAACCATATTCACTTTTCCCTCCTTTGCAAACCCTTTAAGTTACCTCATAAAATTTGCTTCTTCAAGTTCACCATTCAGGAAGGTTGTCACATCCCGGGATCAGCTCTGCCGTAGTACGATATTGTCCGCTTTGGGCCCCTCTCTCTGCCATCACGGTTTTGTTTCTGGGAACTCACAAGTAACTTCCCAGTAGGTCACCCATCTTGGGATTGCTCTAGCCCCAACTTGCTTAACTTCAGAGTTCCCATGATTGACTCCGAAGCCAGTGAGCTCCCAAAAGGCCTCGTGCTAGATGGAGGTGGGCATGTACATATAAGGCACATCACCCCTTCTCTGTTGGTCGATGTGGGATGTTACAAAGGCAGTTTTTACATCCATTTGATGTAAAAGCAAGTCATAATGTGCCACCAATGCCATAATTATGCAGAAAGAATCTTTGGTGGAAACTCGAGAAAACGTCTCAATGTAGTCAATTCCCTCCCTTTGGGTGAATCATTTTGCTACCAATCTAGCCTTAAATCTTTCAATTTTTTCATCCTTATCCTTATTTGTTTTTAACCCCCATTTCAAGTCTACCATTTTCTGGCTCTTGTGGGGTTCAACCAATTCTCATACTTGATTATTTTTCATGCTTTCGAGTTCATGTAACATTGCTTCCCTCTATTTGTCTACATTTTGACTCTCCACAACTTCTTTAAAACTTGTTGGACCAGCTTCATCTCCAATATCAAAATCTGCTTTCTGTAAATACACATAATTTGAATTTGATGTAGATTTTCTTAGTCTGTAACATATCCTTGGTTACACTTGTTCTTGTTGATTATCTGGCTCAAGATTTTTGACAGCTTATTCTTGTTGTTGTTGATCCACTGGTTCTTCAAACTGAGGAGGTTCCAATATAGTTTCACTTAAAGGAATCAAGAGTGTAATGTCTTGTTCGTCATTCTCGATCACAACTACATCACCTTATTCTTCAAAAATAAAATCTTTATTCCCAATGAAATTCTCCTCATGCTCTATAAACTTTGTACAGCCAGTCTGAACAATTCGGGTATCATAATTTGGACTGTAAAATCTAAAACCCTTTGACCTTGCAAGATAACCAATAAAATAGCAACTAATCATTTTAGGATCAAGCTTCTTCTTTTGTGGCTTGTAGATTCTAGCTTCAGCCTTGCAACCATACATGAAGATGTCTCATGCTAGGCTTTCTAATAGTCCAAATTTCGAAAGGTGTCTTAGGCATGGACTTGCTAGGCATTCTATTAAGTATGCAGTTTGTTGTTTTGATAGTCTCTCCGCATAGATTTTCTTTTTCATAGCACTTATTCAAAAAATATGAAATATAGGTGAAATGAGTTGGAATATGAAAAGAAAAAAAAATCAACATTGGGCACATAGGGGGTGACGGCATCAATGGGTTTTTTGTGCTTGTTTGTGTGTTCACCCATTTGGATTTTAATCCTGTGATGGTACAATAAAGTTCCCCATTGGCTTAACAACCATTGGTGGTCAACAATGCAACTTTCTTTTGTGCGTGAGTGTGCCACTGCTAGCAGTTTGAAACCCTACCAGACTTCTAAAAAATAGATAACTTGCGTCCCAAGTTACTAATTCTTAAACAAGCAATTGTGAATTTGGGTGAGGAATATCTCCCAAGTAAGTTCTTTTCTTGCCTTAGACTAGTGAGGACTTCACAATTTTTCACAGTACAAAATTGGTAGTTATGGCTAGAATATATAAAAAGAAGACAAACTGTTTTAGGCAGAACTACCTATTACAGGATTGAAAAAGCGAAATGGCAACTCTGAAAAAGACAACAGAACGTTGGACTTCAATTTCTGCCTGGGTAGCTGCCTCTGAACTGGGCTGGATTGGATGTGTCTATTCTGGATTGAATCGTCAACACCTTCAACTGATGAGTTTCAGCTGGAAATCAATATTAACGTTTGAGTTTGGCAGAGCTTCAATTTATTTTGTGCCATGGAAGGCTTGTTGAACGGGCATAATTGAGGCCCTTTTAGTCTGAAGAGGACAAAAGTGACTGGATTGATGGTCACTGAGCTAGAGTTGCGCTATGGTGCCTATTCTGCTTGACCAAGGCTTTCTGTAAATTTGTTGAGGTTTTCATATTTGTAAAAACTTGGACTCTGCTAGATTTGGCTTTGTGCTAAACCAAATTTGTAACGAGAGAAATCTTGCTTTGTAAAACTACTTCTCTGAACTGAACTGAAACCACAGATTTGAATTCTAGCTTATTTGTTTCTTGTGGATCAAAGAGCTTTGGTTGCTTTAGGGTCTAAAAGCTTTTGAGATCAGTTTATCTTTTTGAGTTTGTCAATTGTGACTTTGAGAGTTTTTGTCTTGATTGATTTTTTGGCTGTCCTTTGATCTGTTCACCTCCTCTCATATTTATAGGAAATGTTGGGGTGAGATTTTTAATCTTTAATAATGGGCGGCAGATCTTTCAAAAGATCTTTCTTTTTAAATGCCACAAAGAAAGGGAAGTAATTATTTTGGCAGAGAAGAACCATCAACAATCAGCTTTCATGGAGGTCTTTTCCTTGCTTTTTCTGAAAGAAAACCAACTCTCTTTATTCCATGTTTGTTCTTTGAAAAAAAAAAAAAAAAAAAATAGTTGTGATGATAGTCAGTTTGCTTTTTCTAGTGAGCAACCTCCTTACTCCTTACTTATCTCTTGAAAACGTAGTTTGCTTATCTCTTGGAAAGGTCACCTGCTTTGGTGCAGAGTTTCTCTGTATATAAAAAGAGGATTTGATCTTTTTTCTTTGGTTTCAAAAATGAAGAAGTCCTCCTATAAGACCTACCTTCATTAACTCCTTATCAACTTCTCTGTGATAGTTGAAAATTTTGATTTTTCCAAAGTTAGAAAGTCACTTGGGGGCTCTCTTGAGAAAAAGATCTGCTGACTTGCCTTTTTTGGGGTAGAGATCAAGTGGTGTGAATTTTTTAGAAGCTGGGCTTTTATCCAAAGCTGTGTGTGTCAGTTTTTTAATTTCCAATAATAGTTTTTTTTTTCTTCAGATAATGGCTATATTTGTAATTTGCTCAAAAAGGTATGGGCTTTTTCAGTATCTTGGTTTTTTTACTTCTAATTCCTATAGATAAAAGCCCAAATGTTTTGTTTATAGGCCTTTTGACAAAAATGGGCTGGCGTGCAGAGTTTTAGCCCAAACAGTGTGTTTATGTGTGAAATGTTTACACAGTTTTGTTGGTCCTAAAATTGTAGACATGAAAATGATTTTTCCATGATTTTAGGATTTATGTGTGAATTTTGAGGTATCAAAAATATATGAAATGTTCTATGTATTCTTGAGAAGTTTATCTTTTATTTTTTATTTTTTCAACAGATCATACGTATTTGATTCTTTAGGTGTTACTTGATGTGAATCATAGGTGTTACTGAAAAACAAGGAATGACAAATTCCACCAAACATTGTACCTTTGTCCCCTCTATCTATTTTGAAGATGCCTTTTTGGTACAAAAAGCTAGTACCACCCTTGTGGTCCCAATTTCTCACAAACTTCTCACCAACCCACACACACACACATTCCATCCTTGCAATCCCACCCTAGGGCGGACCCATTTCGGGTCTTCTTGTAATTTTTGAAAATTAGGGGATGTTTTATGCAATTGTTGAAAATTAGAGTTTTGCCCAAAACTTTAATTAATTTCGGTTTTATCTCATAATTGCTTATGTGCTTGAATTAAGTGTTTTCAATAAATTCAAGTCCATATTATCTAATAACAAATTTTAGAATTTCATTCTAAGATAATTATCTAATGAGATTAAATAATTAAGAGGTTATTATGGACTTATGAACCCCAAATGCATAACACGCTATGAAATTGACCGTTATTCATTAGATGAATTGATTTATTGATTTGTAATTAAAATAGGGGTTTTCATGCCTCTTTTCTCTTAATCTCAAATTGTAATTTCTACCTCTCTAAGAATGTAACTCCCTTAAAGTCCATTGGGCTTTAAGTTTTCTATTCTCAAATAGTTTTGTAAATAGGAAGATGGAGGCTCGTTGAAGAAGAAGAGAAAGAATAATCAAGTCCAATCACTTGGATTATTCATGGGTCCAACGCCCAAACAACCATGAATATTTTAAGTAGTTAAGACATGTAATAAAATCAATCGTCTTCCAAAGACCTTAGATCCGACATCTTGGTTAGATGTTAGATCGAAATAAAATCCATAATCATCCATAAGCTTATAGACAATTATTTATCTAAACTTAAGGAATGCAAAGACTTTCTGTTAGTAGTAGTGTATATTCCCAATTTCAAATAGTGGGAGTATCGTACAACTACTAATATGAATTAGAATAATGGTTGTCCTAGGCCAAGTAGTTTAATTGGATTAAAGCATAAAATGATGAGACTAATAAAACCCTCAATTATCTCTAAATTAAGTGGATATTGCGTGGCCTTCCATCATGGTGGATTCTAAATAAGCATGACCCTTGTGAAGGCTTGCCTCATATA